TCAAGTCCAGTCAACTATTGTACCAGGTAAGGCCCACTGAGCTACGTAACTCTTTTTCAGAAGCGAGCTGGCCACAAATGATAGGCTCCTAACGAAGTGGCTCATCAATGTGGAAATGTATCGCAGCCAAATACTCTCAACGCGCGTGTCGTCGCGATTCTAAACGTGGCAGGGAAAAAAACCCCGGAGAAAACCCCACACGACCACGGGGAGAGACACTGCAAACTCCAAATATACAACAGGCGTCTGGGTTGGGATCGAACCCAAGGCCTGTATACCAGGCGAGGGAGTTAACATCTCCTAGCCACCGCCGCACCCGTTCTTATTATCGTCCATCTGTCTTGCTGGCCTCTGTTCCAATAAAAGGCCATTGTCCAAAACGTCGCCTGTTATATATATTTTTTCTCTTATAATCCCACACACACAGTACTATTTTTATGTACGCTGAACTTCGTTCGGCACCGTACGTAGCCAACCATGCGTTTTGTTTTTAAACAACTACTAGGAACCGTCTTCGGCACAGTCGGTACTGTGTGATTCTCAAAAGCTCGGCCATCACGATGCGAAATGTTTCAAAAGACGGATCAAGTCTGCCACTAGGCGTGGCGGGGGGACGGTGTTGCCCCGGGTAATCCCAATGAAAGCAAGTCGCTATCAACTTTTTCTCGTTTCAAATTTGCCAAATTTTGAACCGTGTGACGAACTGACGTGGGGGAAGTGGGGCGCGCACGGAACGTCGTACGTCTCGCTTCGAATGCCCGTCACACGGGGCGGCTTGCTTGAAGTGGACGGCGCTGCGTGGTGAATGCCCTCGTCCACGCGAGCCCTCTCGCTTTCTCTCCCAGAGTGGTGGCCAGCGAAACTTGTTACTCCGTCGACCGTGAAAAAGTAGACCAATGCTACCCCCCCACTAAATCCTCCCAGCAATTCGAGCGGAGGCACAGTAAAGGTCACGGGTTTTTCCTCGCAGCTCGTGGGGCAATTAAAAAAAAAACAATAAACATTTATGAGCCGGGTGAGGTCCTAAAACCAAAGCGCCCTTAAAAAATGTTTTGCGAAGCCCTTCGGAAAATATTCTGGGTTGTAAAGGTGCAAGCTTCCGTGTTGTTCTCGACCACCTCACCCCCGTTGATTACTTTCATGGCTACTTCCGCGTAACTGATTCTCAAGTCAATCGGACGGGAACCCTTCCCCCATGGTTTTGAAGGCCGCACTTTAAAAGCAGAAACCCTTTTTTTGAATGGGAATGAGCAGGCCAACCTGGTTTTAGCCGCTGCGTACATTTAAACTAAGTTCTCGTTTGCGCCCCCCCCGCCCCCGTTATAATTTAATCGCCATCGTGTCCACCATTCATAACGATCGCACAGCCATGGGGCGCTCCGTCAGTGAGAATGTCGCACACCCAAAGCGGATATCGCAGAACTACTGCCGAAATTACTTGGTGACATCTCTATCCACAGACTAAGGAAGGGTGGAGCACTTTTCCACACACCCTGCTTCTGCTTCGGCATGGCCTGCTGATGTGAATGATGCAGAGCAGTGACTACAATTTCACACAAGGGTGGTAAAGCCCAGACAACCGCGTCGGGAGCAGCCGAGTGTGTCATCGCTGTGGGTGGCTCCTTCGTATTTTGTGGATCGGGGGGCCGTTGCGTCGCTATGTTGTCACGGTCTGTTCTGGATGACCACAGTCACACGTTGGAGAGGTTTTAACGCTTCACATTTGTGCATCAGGCATATCCGCGTCCGCCATGGTTTGTACTCCCTGCTACAAACATTACTGGTAGGAACCTCCTGGTTACACCAGCCCACAGGGGATTATTGTGTCTGTCCGTCGTGCATCCAAAAATGGGAGGAGTGGGGCTGGGGAGAGGGGAGGGTGGGGAGGGGCTGGGGGGGAGGGTGGGGCTGGGTGGGGAGTGGGAGGGGTGGGGCTGGTCACCCCGTGGTGCCCTTATAAAACTCAACGTTTAACCTACTCACACCGGCTTGTGCCCGCCCTCACAGTCGGGCATATTTGCGGAATACACCACGCCGTGAAAAAATTCCGGAGGTGCCTCCGCACGGTCGAGTAGGGAGAGTCACCAGTGGCAGGGTGGTGTAGACAGCATCTGAATGAATTTCGATTTAAAGCTTTCGTGACTGCAGGGATTCATATTCTTGGTTCTTTCGGTAAAGTTACGTAGAAGGGAAACAATAAATAATCAAAATATTAAACAATAAAATTATCACGACGTTTCGACTGCAACACAAGCAATGACCATCAGGTGTGAAAACCACAGCAAGAAAATTTTAGTATTTTATTGTTTCCCTTCTACGTGACTTTACCGAAATAACCAGTTCACCATGGAAGTCCAGTTCACCGTGGAAGTCCAGTTCACCATGCAAGTCCAGTTCACCGTGCAAGTCCAGTTCACCGTGCAGGTCTAGTTCACCGTGGAAGTCCAGTTCACCGTGGGATTCCAGTTTACCGTGGAAGTCCAGTTCACCGTGGAAGTCCAGTTCACCATGCAAGTCCAGTTCACCGTGGAAGTCCAGTTCACCATGGAAGTCTAGTTTACCATGGAGGTCCAGTTCACCGTGGAAGTCCAGTTTACCGTGTAAGTCCAGTTCACCGTGCAAGTCCAGTTCACCGTGGAAGTCCAGTTTACCGTGGGATTCTAGTTTACCGTGGAAGTTCAGTTCACCGTGCAAGTCTAGTTCAGTTCACCGTGGGAGTCCAGTTCACCGTGGGAGTCTAGTTCACCATGGGAGTCCAGTTCACCGTGGAAGTCCAGTTCACCGTGGAAGTCCAGTTCACCGTGTAAGTCCAGTTCACCGTGGGAGTCCAGTTCACCGTGGGATTCCAGTTTACCGTGGAAGTCCAGTTCACCGTGCAAGTCTAGTTCACCGTGGAAGTCCAGTTCACCGTGCAAGTCCAGTTCACCGTGCAGGTCCAGTTCATTGTGGAAGTCAAGTTTACAGTAGGATTCTAGTTTACCGTGGAGGTCCAGTTCACCGTGGAAGTCCAGTTCACCGTAGAAGTCCAGTTTACCGTGTAAGTCCAGTTCACCGTGCAAGTTCAGTTCACCGTGGAAGTCCAGTTTACCGTGGGATTCTAGTTTACTGTGGAAGTCTAGTTCACCGTGTAAGTCCAGTTCACCGTGGGAGTCCAGTTCACCGTGGGAGTCTAGTTCACCGTGGGAGTCCAGTTCACCGTGGAAGTCCAGTTCACCGTGGAAGTCCAGTTCACCATGTAAGTCCAGTTCACCGTGGAAGTCCAGTTCACCGTGGAAGTCCAGTTCACCGTGGGAGTCCAGTTCACCGTGGGAGTCCAGTTCACCGTGGGAGTCCAGTTCACTGTGGGAGTCCAGTTCACCGTGGGAGTCTAATTCACCGTGGGAGTCCAGTTCACCGTGGGAGTCTAGTTCACCGTGGGAGTCTAATTCACCATGGGAGTCCAGATCACCGTGGAAGTCTAATTCACCGTGGGAGTCCAGTTCACCGTGGGAGTCTAATTCACCGTGGGAGTCCAGTTCACCGTGGGAGTCTAATTCACCGTGGGAGTCCAGTTCACCGTGGAAGTCCAGTTCACTGTGGGGCAGGAGTCGCCAACCTGCGACTCCGGGTCCGAATGCGCCTCATTAAGGACTGCTGCTTAAGGACCCACCATCTCGTATTCACCCGCGTGGCATTGCGGCTCTTGAAATATTGAGGCTTTTTTATTTTTTTACCGAATTTGGAAAAAAATGGCTCTGCTTGTTGTTTGTTTTGGTTGCCTGACCCACTGGTTTAGGTCACAGTGTTGGATACGAAAACATGCAATTTAAGTTGACTGTAACAATTCCGCGCAAACAACGGGGGCCAGCTACCGGCCCAGGTGACGAATACCACCCCTTTAAAACTCCAGCACAATCGGCACCTTTCTCAGCTTTATTTAACGCCTGTGTTCAGAAAAGGCTGATGCAGCCACTCTGGAGGTATTCGCAAATCAAAACATCCACTGCAAGACAAATGGAAAGAAAAGTTAATCAGCACCTTGCCAACACCTGCGGCCGAAAACGCAACAGCAGTTTGGCAATGAAAAGGGACGCTCTTTGCGTGTTAAAATACAGTAAAACCCCTCTTAACGATCACCCTTGCTAACGAATAATTAATCGCTTAACCACAGGCCTCCACAGAGCCCAACGTGTTCGCTTACCGGCCATTCCCCTGTTAACGACGGGGCTGTTGTAGGTACAGTAAATATTAATGAAAGCATTGATTAACCACGTTTCTTTTAATAGTATGTGTTTAGAATGTTAATTGAACACGTAGCCTGTTGCGACCAATATTATTCATGTGATATAACCCTCCACCACCCGACACAGCCAATTAGTAAGGGATTTGTCACGTAAACAAAACGCGAAATAGTGTACATGACAAGCCCCTTACTAATTGGCTGTGTCGGGTGGTGGAGGGATACGACACATTTATACTTACGCGATCGAACCTTAACCTTTATTACGTTTATGTTTCCAGTATCTTTATGTTTAAACATTACAAAGTACGTTTTTTTTGGTGAAAAAGGGGTAACTTTCGATGCCATTTGAAACGCATTAAGCCTTTTAACGTTTATTTCCTACACTAGCTTAACGACCAAACCACTGAACGATCTGTTTCGAGGAACCGATCACCGTCGTTAACAGGAGGGGGTTTCCCCTCGATACACGCCTTCAGCTCGAGACTTGCACCGGACAGCGGCCTTGAAAAAAAAAAGAAATCAGCCAAACAATTTAAATTAGGTATTTTTCCCACGTTGCAACAATCACCGTGAAAAAATTCCGGAGGTGCCTCCGCACGGTCGAGTAGGGAGAGTCACCAGTGGCAGGGTGGTGTAGACTGCACTAGAATAAATTTCGATTTAAAGCTTTCGTGACTGCAGGGATTCATATTCTTGGTTCTTTCGGTAAAGTCACCACGTAGAAGGGAAACAATAAAATAAAAAAAATATATATAAAACAATAAAATTCTCACGACGTTTCGACTGCAACACAAGCAATCATCATCAGGTGTGAAAACCACAGCAAGAAAATTTTAGTATTTTATTGTTTCCCTTCTACGCGACTTTACCGAAAGAACCAAGAATATGCACTAGAATGGTTAACACTGCGAACAATTGCAAAAAGGGAATATCTCCTGAAGTGCGTGGAACGATAATTTCGAGTGTCGGATAATCTATTTCTGTCGGATAATCTATTTCCGGCGGGCTCGACAATCTCGTCGAGTTGTAAGGCACTTGGGGCGAGGGTACAACGGGATGTGTACTGCGCAGACAGAAATGTCGCGATAAGGCAACCCTTAAAGTCAGCCAGTTTTGTTGTACAGGGATGCAGCAAAATTCAGGAAGTTGTACATCTGAACGGTATGTTAGAACAGATCTGCGTACTTTGCACGATGGCCTGGGGGGTTGGGGGGGGGCAGGCCTTCATCCAGCAGTGGATTAATCACGGTTGATGATGACGTTCACATTTACCTCGCCTCGTATTTTACAGTTTTATTTTTTTTGACATCTCCCAGATGGTTGGCATAAACGATTGACTTCAAATAATAATCGTTGTCATCGTCAGGTGTGATCAATCCACTGCTGGATGTAGGCCCACCCCAAAGCCGTCGCCGCCTCTCGCGATCCTGCCACGCATTAATTGCACCTGACGTCGACCTCAATTGCCCCCACAGGAAAAAGAGTCAAAAGAGTCGTGAGATCCCGTGACCTTGTTGGCGATCCAATGGCACGTCGCGCCTCTCCTCCCAAGGGCCGACTGAAGCCATCTCTCCGCCGTACGCGCAAAGCCAACAGCATGCGCACGGCGTGGTCCAGATATCACGAGGACCACCGAGTGGAGGAGGGCTGTGGTAAGGGCGGAAACTTCGTAGGTTACGCAGCGGCTGCAGAATCTTGAAGATGGTAAGAAAGCTTTGGCGAGGCGGTGGTGGTGGTGTGGCGGTGGTGGCGGCATCAACGTTTTCGGCCGTGCCATCTTCCCGATCTTGACCCCCCCCCCACCACCGCCCTCCTCCCCCCCTCCCAAAAGACGTTTGCCGCGCCCCGTACACAACAGGAAGCGCCGACGATGACGGCCGGCGGGCGGCAACTTCGAATCGCGCGCGGAGCCTCGCCCGTGTTCACGCTTCCGAGTGCCGACCCGGCAGCTGGGGCTCCTCCAGGAGCGTCGCCATCGTCGGCGCGAACTCCGACGCCGGCGACGATCGCTGGTCACGCCGATCGGGGGACGCCGCCGCTTCAGCCTCCGCGGTCGCGCCGCGGAGGGACGGCGAAGGCGAAGGCGACGCCGACGGCACCAGCAGCGACGCCGGCAGGAACGGGAAGGCGAGCAGGTACCCGAGACCAGCGCCCAACACGATGGCCAGGAAGACCCACGCGTTGTAGGTCATGGCGGTGAGCATGAGCAGGTAGCCCAGCGTCACCTGCACGATGTGCAGCAGCGTCAGGAGAAGTTGCCGCTTTATCGGCCTGCCCCGAGGGTGAAGAGGGCCGATAGGGCGTGGCGGGGGGGGGGGAAGAAGAGTATATTTGTTATTTTTTTTATTTAAAGCTTTCGTGACTGCAGGGATTCATATTCTTGTTGCAGTCGAAACGTCGTGAGAATTTTGTTGTTTTATGTTTTTATTATTTTGTTTCCCTTCTACGTGACTTTACCGAAAGAACCAAGAATATATCTTTGTTATTGTTTTAAATTCGGTACAAGTGTGCAGCCCCGCAACTGCTTGCTCACCGCCACTGCTGACGGGAGGGCCTCCACTGGGAGGAACTCTGAAGAGTATCCGGTTTATTTTTAGAGGGCCATTTGGCCTGCTCATCCCCACTGGTCAGATGGACTTTGGTGGCACGAGTCCATCGCTTCTTGACCCTTTCCCGTTCCGAGACGTCTGCAGTTTACAGGGTGCGGGGTGTCCCCCGTTCACCTCTGAATCTCGGCACGCACAAGCGGTTCAGCGTTAATTTTATTTAGAGAGGCGTAGCGCCGTTGTTTTGAAAGACATTGCCGCTCACTGCAGAGAACCGTAGCGATGCGACCGCCACTGTACGATAGCCGGCACCAAAACTGCCACACGCCCTCCCGCATGGCCTTGTGGGAGCCTCGGCAGCGATAAAAGTTATTTGATATTTTGTACGCACGTTGAACTTATTTCGCACCGTCCATAGCCCACCGTGTTTCATTGAATTGTTTAGTTTGTGGCCCTTCCCCTGCACCTCTGATCCAGCAGGGTTGGCTACGTCCGGTGCGAAATCAGATCAACGTACATACATCCATACGGTCGACCGTCATCGGAACGGAATCGGGGAAAAAAAAAACTGATGACCAGGGCGTCCGCGGACGCGCGCGTGCGACGGCATACGAGGGCGTGTACGAAGACGTACGTCATCAGAACGGGAACGGGGTTAAATCGCGACGAGCCTAAACAGCAAGGGGGTGGGGGGGGGGAACACTCGCCTCCTCTGCGCGCTGGCGATCGGCTTGAGAAAGCGCAGGGCCTCCGCGTCGCTGCCGTTCGCCGTCGCGCCCGGGCAGCAGGCCTGCATCGAGTCGCAGCCGCCCTGCGACACCTGCGCGCTCTGACCGTCGCTCTCGGGCCGCGGTTCCGAGCCGCTGGGGCCGCAGCCGCCGCTGGGAGCGGTCTCTCCCGCCTCGATGCACCACCGAGCCACCTTGAGGGCCTCGTAGCCGATGGCGGCCACTATGAGGATGAGCAAGGATCCCACCAGACCTGGAGGGAGAATCGGAATATTTATTGATTCTGGCGGAATCCGATGAGCTATAAAGGGCTCTTGGTCACAGATGTCCGGTTCGAGGCGGGTAAGAACGTTACAACAACAATACAAAAACACGATAGCAGTGCGTAGTACAGGAAAGGCTAGCAAATCGCCCAAAAACATACAAATAAAACCATCCTCCGTCCGACCAGTCAAAGCCCACCGAGGTATAAACTTAGTTTTGAGAAGCGACCTGGGCACAAATCACAGCTCAACAAAGCCGTTTATCACGGTGCAAAATTTCTAGGAGCTGAATTATTGAAATGCGTGTTTCTCTAAATGGGGAGGGCAAAAATCTTCAGAGGACCCGGAGTGTAAAAAAAATAAAAATGTGTCCACGCGACCAAGGGGAGACACAGTGATGGATTACAGGCCACGTGCGTTACAACCCCCCCCACCCACCCACCCCACCAGCGGGCCAGGTAAGAAACTCAAGGTGACCAGGTTAAGCGGCGTAAGGCAACGGAGTGTGACCTGGGTCACCAATTTTTTTGTTTGTTGCAAAAGCAAGAAAAAAACCATGCTTCAGAAACGAAGCTGCGGATAGAAGTAAAAAAATAAAAAAAGCGTCGGGACAGCTGGTAGTCGAGATGTCGGCACGTAACCACGGATATTAGAAATAACGAAACAAAACCAGCTCGTGCCATGTGTCCCCTTTTTTCAGTTCTCCCATGGACGATCAGTAATGCATGTCTATTGCAGATGATTATTGTGCAATAAAAAAAGGCTAATAATTGAAGGGATTTTCTTTTTTTAGAGAACTCACCACCAGGGCCATGCGTTTGCCAGAATTCGAAGAGGAGCGTCACTTTGTCCGAGAACTGGAAGAACATCTGTGGAGAGACGAGGTGCACAGTGGCTTCAAGAACATTTAACATCATCCACAGCCCTCCGTTGCAATATCGTGTTACGTACGCACGCACATTGAACTTCTTTCGCACCGTATGTAGAGACCCAGGCTAATTGGAAGAGGGGTGGGGGGGGAACAACAACAACACTGAATGCAAAAAGCAGTTCTAAAGAAATGAGTTTTCAATTTAGTATCCTGGTGTAGTGTATAGTGTAGTGTACAGTAGTCTATTTATCTATGTTGAATTTTTTTTTCACACCATACGTAACCAAACGCACTAATCGGAGGTTGCGGGCGGGCGGGCGGGGGTGGATAAAGCAAACTGAACGCAAAAAGCAGTTAGAAAGAAATGAGTTTTCAATTTCGGCGAACATCGAAGCAGAACCGTGGAAAGGCAGACAACACAAAAATAGACACCTACAGACGTCATCAGTAGACAAATCGACGTGACACAAAATACCAAGATCTCCAGCGTAGCCTTCAACGGGCTGTTGGGGAAAGTGCGGCTAGCGAGCACCTTGCGAAGACCAGGACGGCACGCACACACACACACACACGAGGAGCTTCCCGAGAGAGCGCGCGTCATTGGCCCTCAATGTCCGACGTTTCGCACGGAACGCGGAGTGCTTCTACAGCAGCCGCAATTCGGTTCGGAGCCGAGACCTTTGAGTTAGTTAGCTCCCAAACCCCCGGCACGCGTTGGGAGCCGAAACGGCGGCAAGAACGTACCGCACGCAGACCGTGGACCACACACGGCAAAGGAAACTCAACAGAGCAAATCCTTTCAAACCACAATTAACAAGCCTCGACCACAATTTGCCCATTATGAATCTCACGTATGCACGTACATCCCTTTTTATAAGGGCCACACCCCCGGCTCCATACCGTGTCAACCCATACGGGTTTACCCCTGTATTCTTGTGCAGGGAAATTGAGTTTTCAGGTCCATCCCTTGTGATGGGACTTTGTAGGATGAACGCTGAGATTTGTAAGGGACACTGGGTGATCAATTAGATCTGAATTGGTCTGTAATAAGGTGGCCACTGATCAGGGGTTGACAGGTATGTAGTGGTGAGTGTACTAATGGTTAGTGTAGTGGTGAGTGTACTAGTGGTGAGTGTCTATTTGTGTTTCTCCCTTGTGATGGGACTTTGTAGGATGAACGTTGAGATTTATAAGTGGCACGGGGTCACCAAAAAGGTCTGAATTGGTCTGTGATAAGGTGGCCACTGCTCAGGGGTTGACAGGGATGCCACTCCCACCCCATGCGGTCTAGGTGGTGGGGGTTATTTGACCATACTTCACCATCCGCAGTGCCTTGAAAGTCCTTTGATGGCCCTGCGTGTGTGCACGGTGCGTGTGTGTGTGTGTCGCCCATCCTACTAAGCAAGAAGCATCGACCACAATTAACAAACAACAACAACAGCCGCCATAGCTCGCAGCAAACCACAAACATCTTGTCAAGGGGCAATAAACCATCGTCACACGAACTCCGGTCATCCTCGCTGCAGTGGGCCGTCTGGAACGCTCTTTCCTTCCGATATTATGAAATCCCAAACTGCGCATCTGTGCGCATTTAAATCACCCAGATTGAAAACGAGTTTCCTTGTAGAGAACTACTTTTTGTTGTTGTTGCGTTTAGTTTGATGTCATCCCCCCCCCCCCCCCCCCAGTGAGCGATGTCTACTACACTCCACACCAGCTACTCATTTGAGGCCGAGCCGACCTACACACGTCACAACAGTTATGAGTAACGTCACATTACCGCACGTGGTACATTCACACGAAACTATGTGTTTGTACCTGCATCATCTTGATAGCAGCCTTGTCAATCGTATCTCCAGCGAAGTGACTGTCAATAAGCTTTAATAGAATCCTATATATTTGTTTTTAATCTACGGGGTGAAACCCCATACAATTGATAGGGCCGATGTCGAGCAGTCTATAGTAACGCGCGGCAGTCTACAATCCCTGGCCTTAACAGTCCGCTCACACGCGACAGTCTTTAAATCTATATAGTTCGTAGCACACTACGCAATGTTGATTAAATAATCGCGGAATAGAATCACCGTACAACATTACCGAGTCATCTACAGTAACGAGGAAGGTTGTAACAACATCAGCGGCTATCCTATTAACCTCTTGGGAGTCTGCGCGTAAATATCCGTAATAGCAACACAAGCGGCCCCTAATAATAAATTAAAAAATATATATTAGTAACGTCTTGTTACATCAAACTTATAATATAATCTTCGTAATAAACTAAACACGCGCGCCAGCAACGTTAAAGCCTCTTCCACATATCACGGAATAGCTGAGACTGAGTTATCTCGTTCCGGGTCACGGTGGTGGTGTTCGTGGTGGGAGTTACTTTATAGAAGCTAAATATTTAAATATATTTCTTTTTTTTAAAGCCCCGCATTCCTGTGCCGGTCACGAGTTTTCTTTTACAATTGCTCCCTCGCCACTATCGTTATCCTGTTGCGCAAGGCGTTTTTCTTTGTATTTTTTTTTACTTTGTAAGTTCATTAATGATCGAATGTCCGTTTGTCTGGTTTAACGATTAACTTCTGGGTGGTTAAGCCTGTAATTGCAGTGTGGCATTTGAACGTTAAAAGACACGTGTGTGTTTTTTAACACTATAGAAGAAGATTAACATTTAATCCACCCATTTTTTTGGGGGTTTTGCTTACTAACACGGTAATGGGTACATAACACTGCAATTTTACAAAATGCCCAATCTAAAATTCACCAGCTCTGATTGTAATCTCTTTAACCACTAAGTAATGGTTATAACGTTGAAGCTACGTTTAACGTTCACAATTGTTTGCTCTAGCCACAACATTGATGGACGCAATGGTTAAAGGCGCAGCCCTACAACCGCTTTCGTTTACGCCTATGCTAGGGCTGAACGATTTGGGGAAATGATCTAATTGGATTTTTTTTCTGACAGATATTGCGAATGCGATTTGATTTGCGATTAAGTTTTTTTTTTTAAAGTGAAGCTTCAGTTCAATATTCACTGTGTAATAGATTTAAAACACGTGATGGAGCATTACCACGTGATACCATCAAAATATGAACTGCTCTATATATTCTCTCTTTAACCACTAAGTAATGGTTATAACGTTGAAGCTACGTTTAACGTTCACAATTGTTTACTCTAACCACAACACTGATGGACGCAATGGTTAAGGCGCAGCCCTACAACCGCTTTCGTTCACGCCTATGCTAGGGCTGAACGATTTGGGGAAATGATCTAATTGGATTTTTTTCTGACAGATATTGCGAATGCGATTTGATTTGCGATTAAGTTTTTTTTTTTAAGTGAAGCTTCAGTTCAATATTCACTGTGTAATAGATCTTCTTTGGTTCTTTCGGTAAAGTCACGTAGAATGAGAATAAAATAATAAATTGATAAAATAAAATAACACAATAATATTCTCACGACGTTTCGGCCACAACACAAGCGGCCTTCATCAGGTGAGGGACGAGACTGTCTGGTAGGACAGCGCTGGAGTGAAAAAGCCACGCTCAGATCCCGACCTTTAATGTGTAATAGATTTAAAACACGTGATGGAGCATTACCACGTGATACCATCAAAATATGAACTGCTCTATATATTCTAATGCAAGGATAAGAACTTAAAAGATATGAATTGAATTTCGATTTAAAGCTTTCGTGACTGCAAGGATTCATCTTCTTTGGTTCTTTTGGTAAAGTCACGTAGAATGAGAATAAAATAATAAATTGATGTGTAGGCTTTGACTTTAACATAGCCATTTCTGTGACCAGTCACAAGCTAATCACTCAGCTATTTCAATGCTAAATTATCCTGTTTGATTTGTACTAGGTGCCTCTGTAGATGTGTAGGCTTTGACTTTAACATAACTATTTCTTTGACCAGTCACAAGCTAATCCCTCAGTTATTTCAATGCTAAATTCTCCTGTTTGATTTATACTAGGTGCCTCTGTGGATGTGTATGCTTTGACTTTAACATATCCATTTCTGTGACCAGTCACAAGCTAATCACTCAGCTATTTCAATGCTAAATTCTATGCTAATTCCTTTGTCAAGGGGTGCCTCTGTGGATGTGTATGCTTTGACTTTAACATAGACATTTCTGTGACCAGTCACAAGCTAATCACTCAGCTATTTCAATGCTACATTCTATGCTAATTCCTTTGTCAAGGCGCTCTGTTTCTTCTCACACAGCTTAAAGGTCGCGGTCTGAGCTCGGCTGTGTTCGGTCCAGCGCTGTCCTCCAGACAGTCTCGTCCCTTCACCTGATGAAGGCCGCTTGTGTTATGGCCGAAACGTCGTGAGAATTTAATTGTGTTATTTTATTTTATCAATTTATTATTTTATTCTCATTCTACGTGACTTTACCGAAAGAACCAAAGAAGATATGAATGCTTCCAACGTATTTATTAAAATGTTTTTTTATTGAAAAAGAACAATCAAACATAGAACAATTATTACGTTAAATAAATAAAGTTATAATATTAAAAAATAAAACAATTCCAATATGAAAGTAATAGAACTTTTAAAATCGCCAAAAAATCGCAGCCTTTGCGATTTGCTAATCGCATTGATTAAAATTGTGATTTCGATTTGAAATCGATTAATCGTTCAGCCCTAACCTATACACTCGAGGGAGATGCAGAGAGCCACCCACCCTCTGGATTCCCAGAGGGTGCCCCAGTTAAACATACCACGTTGGGCCAACCGCATGCCAACGTTGTCTAGAACGTCTTGCCAGAGGTGGGAATTACACAGAATCAGAATATTTGTTTTTTACGGGAGGAATCCGATGAGCTCTAAAGCTCTTTTCCACAGATGCCCAGTAGGGGCAAGCGGTCAGAACGTCACAACAACAACAAACGATACAAATCACGATAGGAATGCAAAATATTGTAAAGATAAACAATTCACTTTAAAAAAATAACATGCAACCCACTGAGCTATTAACTTATTTTTCAGATGCGACCTCGCCACAAATGATAGCTCAACGAAGTGGCCTATCGCGTGGAATCGATGTAGCATCAAAACAGCCCATGAATGTCGAGTTGTGTTTATTACAGGAGTGTGAGAAAAGCTAGAGCACCTGGAGAGCGGGCAACACTCAATCCCCGTACAGATGGAAACGGATGGCGATCAGTCCACTGTGCTGTACTGCCGGTCAGGGCACGGCTCCTCCTCGCCTCCCCCCCCCCTCCCCCCCCCACGGGGGAAGGGACTTTCACAGCACCATCTGTGCGGTGATCCATCAACCCTCGCTGCTGCCTCCACAGCGCTGGGTCATAGGTCACCCACCGCATGGCATTTAATTCGCTACCCACACGCGGTGTTCAGTGACGAACGTGTCGAGTTATTTTCTGTCACTTAACAGTCATCACGATGTTTGTTAACTTGCACGCTTTCTCTAATCCACGTGCTCCTCTGACAGTGTCATTGCTTCTTCGTTACGTTGCAAAATTGTCTCTTTCTCTTGTTCCAAATGCGTTTCAATCCTGCTATCACACCCGTCCCCTCCCCCCTGCGACAGTATTTAATTATTTTAATCTAAGTTTTTGTGGTTGTTGCTTGACTTGCATCCCACTGGGATTTTTTGCACACAGCGTTGGTGTACGGTGCTTTTTTTCAGGAATATTTTTGCTGGGTTTTTTTTTCCATGGATTTTCTGTTTGCACAGTCACATAGTCACTTTAAGATGTTTTTCTTGTTCGTGTTTTTGTTTTTTTGTTTGTTGTGGTTGCACCCGATTCAAGAGCCGAATGGCTCACAGGGCTATACCAAAATAAACTGAACTGAAAAAAAACTGGCATTAAAACCGCGTTGTTTACATTTGCTTTGGTTAATTTTGTCATACGTAAAACGAACAAAAGTCTGTTGCATAATTGGGTATGGTGGTCTGTTTCTCGGCTCGTGTGCACCATCCTAGACTGATCGTTGAATGCCGAAACCGTGCAAGAAGACATTGCAAGGGCTTGTTGGGGAGGTCTTCATCTAGCAGTGGAAAGCCACTGCGGCTAAGCACTTTTAAATCTAGACCTGAAAACTCGTTTCTTCAGTACTGCTTTTTTGTGTTTAGTGTGTTATCCTTCTCCCCGCACGTCCGATTAGCACGGTTGGCTGTGCTGTACGGTGCGAAAGAAGTCCAACGTGCATGATTATAGTCCAGTGGTTCTTAACCTGGGCTGCACGCATCACCGAAACACAAATTTAGCACGGGCACGTAAGTACAACTACTTTGTTTCATCACACCCTATGTATTTATTAACATTTTTTTTTACAATTGATAACCAAAGTGGCGCAGGGCTGCACTGAAGGTTAAGCACCCCTGGTATAGAGCATGACTCGTAAGAATAATGATTGAAAGCGTTCTTACTTTTTGCTGGATTTCTGGGAAATTAAATGTGCCCACTCCCCCAAGATGTTCTTACTCAGAATAATACGCACAGCTCCCGATTCTAATGAACTACAGCAATTATGTATCCCACTTACAAAGAGTTGTTTGAAAACAGTGTAGCCTGTTGGCAGGAGTCAAACTCATACAACCGGTTCTCAGAGGCCGGCAAGCTGAGGCTTGACTACTGCCTATCTCGGCCCTCAGGGCCCCACAATGTGGTTGCTTGCAACTGATGGTGTGGTTGGTACGACAACAATAACCAAGGCACCCAAGGCACGTGGGGTGACCTTGTGTGTGTGCCATCCAGATATATAAACACAGACACAACTTCAACCGAGAAGATGGGTACAAACCGAGCAATCATTGGAAGGACGTTATTAACCAGGTACAGTTTTAACTGACTGTGATGTTTCCATCCTACCTGCCTATGTCAGCTGTTATTTCCGACTCTCTGTGTGTGTCTCTCTCTCTCTCTATGCCTCTCTCTTAGATCTCTCATGCTCACATGTCCTTTGCATTGCACTCTCATGCCTTGGGATTGCACTCTCATGCTCACAGGCCCTTGGGATTGCACCCGTTGGGTTGCACTCCCTCGTTGAAGAGGGCCGCTCTCCTCCTATCTTAAAGTCACATGCTAATTTCTCACATTAACATCACTAGCCCCGGCCACTTCTTTATGACCCTTGAGCTACACCCATTTCAAACCTTTTAAAAGTCTGCATCAGCAGCAGACCCACGCTTTCCCACCTGATGACGGACGCTTGTGTTGCGGCCGAAACGTCGTGATTTATTTTATTTCATACCTACGTGACTTTACCGAAAGAACCAAAGAGTATGACCTTGTGTTGTTGTCGTGGTTAGTGATGGTTGGGGAGGGGCTGGGTGGGGAGGGGTGGGGCTGGGTGCGGGGGTGGGAGGGGTGGGGCTGGGTGGGGAGGGGCTGGTCACCCCGTGGTGCCCTTATAAAACTCAACGTTTAACCTACTCACGCCGGCTTGTGCCCGCCCTCACAGTCGGGCATATTTGCGGAATACACCACGTGGTGCGGCCGTTGACCCTGGCCATTGACCGAGCAACCCAACGTTCCTACCAGCTCCCTCCGCAGGAGAATGTGTTTTGGGCGGTGATGCTGCACTTGCTGCTGCTGCGTTGGCGGTGGTGCAAACACAAAGGTCCCCCGGGTAGCCTTAACAGACTGTTGGGGGCAAGTTGCTGTGAGCAAGTAGCAGCAGCACGTTGTGAAGGCCGGCACGGCACACGAGGGGGGTGAAGGTGGCCAGCACCACGCCCGGCCGCCTTTGTCTCCCCCAGTGGCGATGTTCACACACACACCGCACCAAGAAACACATTTGAGGCTGAGTCGACCCTAGGGGAGAACCCAGGACCGGTTCAGACGATCGTCATCGGTGCAATCGAAACTCGGGTCGCCGGCTTTCGTAGCGCGGAGCGCTAACCGCTTCGCATTAACCGCTTCTCTTTAACCGCTTCTCTTTAACCGCTTCGCTTTAACCGCTTCGCTTTAACCGCTGTGCACTAATCGCTGTGCACTAACCGCTTCTCTTTAACCGCTTCTCTTTAACCGCTTAGTATTAATCGCTTCTCTTTAACCGCTTCTCATTAACCGCTTCGCATTAACCGCCTCGCACTAACCGCTTCTCTTTAACCGCTTCGCATTAACCGCCTCGCACTAACCGCTTCGCATTAACCGCCTCGCACTAACCGTGAGCACAAAACGGCGATTTCCGCTCTCAACTTGCCACGCCCCCCCCTCTCTCCTCCTCCCCCACGATTCGCATTTCCGTTGCCAGGCAACGATTGCACGGGGCAACATCGCCACAACAACAACGCACGCGCACACGCATCCCCACCATCACCACCACCATCATCATCACCACCAACACTATCATCACCACCACCACTATCATCATCATCACCACCACCATCATCATCACCACCACCACTATCATCACCACCACCACCATCATCATCACCACCACCACTATCACCACCACCACCACTATCATCACCACCACCACTATCATCATCACCACCACCATCACTATCATCACCACCACCATCATCATCACCATCATCACTATCACCACCACCACCACTATCATCACCATCATCACCACCGCCACCACTATCATCACCACCACCACCATCATCACCACCACCATCATCACCACCACCACTATCATCATCATCACTATCACCACCACCACCACCCCCACTATCACCACCACCATCACCGCCACCACCACCACCCCCACTATCACCGCCGCACTCGCACAGAAGCACGCTTCAACCACAGAGAGACAGAGAAGACGACCCAGGACGTTCGCTTTTGGGTTTAATTTTTTTTAGTTTCTTTCGTTTTATTTATTTTTTTAATCTGGAAGAATCTCCCACACGTTTGACGCACGTAAGTCGAGTGGCTCGCTCTGACGCCTCGCGAACAACAACAACGACAACAACTACGATCTGATTTGTTTTAAAATCCGGCGACGTTGCGGCGGGCGGTGTTCGTGTCCGGTTTTTGGTTTTTCGCGCGGGGGGGGGGGGCTACGCTGAGGAGGGTGCTGTGGGGCCGTCCATAAATGACGTCACGCACCTAGGGGGGGGGGGGCTACGCCGAGGAGGGTGCTCTGGGCCGTCCATAAATGACGTCACGCACCTAGGGGGGGGGGGGGGCTAGGCTGAGGAGGGTGCTGTGGGGCCGTCCATAAATGACGTCACGCACCTAGGGGGGGGGGCTACGCCGAGGAGGGTGCTCTGGGGCCGTCCATAAATGACGTCACGCACCTAGGGGGGGGGGGCTAGGCTGAGGAGGGTGCTCTGGGGCTGTCCATAAATGACGTCACACCTGGGGGGGGGGGCTACGCCGAGGAGGGTGCTCTGGGGCCGTCCATAAATGACGTCACGCACCTAGGGGGGGGTCAGACATTTGTGACGGGGGGGGGGGGGGGGTGAGAAATGTGACGTCACATCAAAATTCGCAACTTTAAATAAATATAGACAACACGTTCTATTTAATTAAATAGACTTTGTAATAAATGTTTTATCCTACAACATCAGAGTGCAGCGCCACATTAAATACGCACTACAATGACAATAGTTTAAAGCGATTTGAAGCGTGGTTTTTTTTTGGGGGGGGGGCAGAGCTTTGTGACGTCATTTGAGGGGGTGTCTTGCTTTTTGTGACGCCGTGTGACGAGGGGGGAGGGGGGGGTCAAAAATCGTCAAAAATCGCGTGACGTCATTTATGGACGACCCTGACTCCTGCTGTATACTTGGAGTTTGCGTGTCTCTCATCATCATCATCACGGTGGCTAGGAGATGTTAACTACCTCGCCTGGTATACAGGAGGTCGTGGGTTCGATCCCGACCCAGACTCCTGCTGCTGTATATTTGAAGTTTGCGTGTCTCTCTCTCCCCGTGGTCGCGTGGATTTTTCTCTGAGTCATTCCGCTTTTTTTCCCCTCCACATTTAGAAACATTCGTTGAGAGTATTTGGCTGCTAGACATTTCTACACGATAAGCCAATTGGTTGAGCTATCATTTGTGACCAGGTCGCTTATGAAAAAGAGGGATAGAGCTCAGTGGGCATTGCCTGGTAAAATATTTATTTTTAAACATGTTAAGATGCGCTTCTGGGACCGTCTGGAACGCTCTTCCTTCCGATATCAGGAGCCCACTGGAGGTCTGCACTTTTAAATCATCATCGAGATTGAAAACTCCTCTCTTTAGAACTGCTTTTTGTGTTTAGTGTGTTGTCCTTCCACCGCACCTCCGATTAGCATGGTTGGCTGCGTACAGTGCGAAAGAAGTTCAACATATACGCGTGTGCACGTGTGTGCGCGAGTGTGCGCGTGTGTAGTAGTAGGTATTTGGCACAGTAGGGGGCACAGGTGTTGCATCGGCCAGTCATCTCAGTCAGTCGACCCGTGGCACCACCTGGGTCTGCTCCGTGACCTCCTGCCAGCGGGCTTTCGACACTTCACGTGGCCTCAACGTGCACCTACCCTGGCACAAGGGCCGTATTGATGTCAACGCCACTTAGTGGCGAATGGCGGTTGTTGTTGTTGTTGTTGTGCACGTGTGTGTGGAGCGGTAGTGCAGCGATTGGCGCTACACTGCGCTACGAACCCCGGCGACACGAGTTCCATACCCACTCACGGCCAACACCCAGTGACGATTGATTATCTGAACCGGTCCTGCGCCTTCCCTACATCGACTCAGCCTCAAATGAGCGCCTGATGCGGTGTGTAAACATCGTCACTGGGGAGACAAAGGCGGCCGGGCGTCGTTGCTGGCCACCCCCCCCCTCCGTGCGCCGTGCCGGCCCTAATAGATGCTCGCGAAGAGCACTTGCCCCAACAGTCGGTGAAGGCTACGCGGCGGTGGAATCTTTGTCTTTGTGTGCGCGTGAACAGCTGCGATGGCGAGCCAGGCGCAGGCGGGTGAGGAAACAGGTGAACGAAGCACCCACGAGTTCTATCGAGTGAGCCCTCACCTGCCCAGGAGATTCGACGAGCCTCACCTGCTGCACGCCTACGGGTGAGGCTCCACGCGTTTCCCTCGATTTTCGCGGCCGGTAGATATGAGTTGTAATAGTCGTAGATGCATTCCAAAACAAACGAAAAAAGGGTGCACAGAGCGGAAAGCCGCATGAGCAGACAGCTGCCTTGCCGAGTAGCAACACACAGTACACACACGGTATACATTACACACACAGTATACATTACACACACACAGTACATACACAGTATACATTGCACACACACAGTACAAACACAGTATACATTACACGCACACAGTACATACACAGTATACATTGCACACACAGTACATACACAGTATACATTACACACACACTACAAACACAGTATACATTACACACACACAGTACATACACAGTATACATTACACACACAGTACATACACAGTATACATTACACACACAGTACATACACAGTATACATTACACACACACAGTACACACACAGTATACACAGTACACACACACAGTACACACACAGTATTGTATCTCTGTGTGTATCTCGATCTGTGTGTGTATCCCTACGTGTGTATCCCCGTGTGTGAGACAACTGCCTGCCGAGTAGCACACACAGGCAGTACACACACAATGCACACGCAACGTTGTCCCATGTCTGACCGCGTCACCGAGTTCAGACGGCACAGCAGAGCACATTCAGGATAGAAACAGGTCAGCCGCATGCACAGCGCGAAATCGCGCAAATCGAACCCGCGTAGAGCAAGGGAAATCCGTAAATAGAAAAAAAAACCTGTCGTTCAAGTTGATCATTTCATCGCTCACGCAATCATCTCATCTCTCCATCCTCTGCTTCTGTCCCCTGCCTCCAGGCGAACGCCGGCAAAGATGTAATAGCCACTCTTTTTGGCCTTTGGACCGATTTTGTGTGAACGAGCCGTAACTTTTGTGGCCTGCTCCACCGCCGCTCCCTCCTGTGAAAGATTTCCTGGCTTTGCTGGGAAGTCGGTGATCCGTGTTCTGGGATGTGCGCTAGTAGACCCCGTTGACTCATTTCTTTGTCGTGATAACTCTTGCTGTTGTTTGTGCTTTGTGTTGTGGTGCCATTTCTGCTAATTTGTTTATTTTCTTGAGACTTTTTGGCTTTGGTAAGTAGTAGTGGGGGGTTTGTATTTTCTTGGTGTGTACGTGTGTGTGTGTATGTGTGGTGGGCTCGTTAACAGCACTTGCCCCAACAGTCCGCTCAGGCTATGCGGGGGACCTTTGCTTTGTGTTGAGCTTCTTTCGCGCTGTCCGTAGCCAACCGCGCTATATGGGATTTGCTTCTCAGATAACAAAAAAAAATTGATGTAACAGCTTTTCTTTTTTTCGATTTAAAGCTTTCGTGACTGCAAGGATTCATCTTCTTTGGTTCTTTCGGTAAAGTTACCACGTGGAATGAGAATAAATTAATAAAATAAGACAATGAAATTCTCACGACGTTTCGGCCACAGCGCAAGCAGCCTTCATCAGGTGAAAGAACAGAACTGTCGGGACGGCAGTGCTGTCCCGACAGTGGCCGAAACGTCGTCAGAATTTTATTGTCTTATTTTATTATTTTATTCTCATTCTACGTGGTGACTTTACCGAAAGAACCAAAGAAGATGATGTAACAGCGTTGCGGGATTGCTGTTGGCGCGAATGGCGCTGCTAACACAAAACGAAAGCGCTATCATTGTCGTTGTTGTCGTCGCCGTCCACCATGCAGCTCCAAGCCCACGCACCCCGTGTACCGCACGTCGAACCAGGCGTACGGACGCAGAGCGCCGACCGTGCACGAGATGCCGGTGAGTGGTGCGCCGCGCGACGGGACGGCGAGCCCCCGCTTAGCGCCGGCCCGCGGGTCGCCTTCCCCGAAAGAGCGCTACGCGCCAAAAGCGAGGACGACAAATATCCCCCCCCCCCCCCCCCGTTAATAACGCGGCGACGATGAGGTGTGGCGGGATGCGACGCGCCACGACCACCGGCTGCCAACCGCGCGCGCCGCGCAGTGGACGTGGCGGGACAGGTAACCGAGGGTACGCCCGCCGCGTCGCCGTGGCGTCCCGCCTGCTTTGTCGCTGTGCCGCTCAGCCGCGCAGCTCAAGAAACTCGTTCGGCGCCGACTGCTCGGGTGCCGTTTGGTAATGCCGCGGGTTGTGACGAAGCGCGTTCCGCGTTGTGCGAAAAGTGTTTCCCGAACGGAAGAAGCGCGTCATAGCGAAAATGCGTTGTAGTGCGAACAGCGCCACGCGTGAAGCGAGAACCGTACAAAGACAAAGACCCCCCCCCCCTCCATCGCCCGTACAGCTGCTACAGGCTGTCGGGTCAAATGCTGTTTGCGAACAGCAGCTGTGAAGGCCGGCACGGCAAAGCGCGCGAAGAGGTCCGTCCGTTTTGTCTTTCCCCCCGCCACCCTCCCCTAACGCTGATGTTTTACACACCACACCGGGATTAATTAAGGCTGAGTTGACCTCGGTGGAAGGCGCACGGCCGGTTCAAACGTGACCTCGACTCGTTGAACCGCGAGCTCGGGGTGACGGCGGCGCTGCAGTGGAAAAACAACCCCGGCGCCTTCCGTGCCGTGCCGGGGTGGCTCGGCCCCGGCACCGGCACAGAGAGAGTTCTCGGTACGATCGTCTAAACGGAACAAATTTTTTCTTTTGATTTGACCAGGTAAGGCCCCACTGAGCTATGTAGCACTTTTTCAGAAGCAACCTGGCTATCACAAATGAAAGCTCAACGAAGTGGCTTATGATCATCACGTGGACATAATGCATGGCAGTAGCCGAATACTCTAAACTCACGCTTCGATTCTAAATGGGGAGGGAAAAACCCGGAGGAGCCGGAGAAAAATCCACGGGACCAGGGGGAGAGAGAGAGAGAGAGACACGCACACTCCAAATATACAGCAGGTGTCAGGGTCGGGATCTAACCAACGACTCCCTGTACACCAGGCGAGGTAGTTAACATCTCCTAGCTACCGTGATGATGATGAGAGAGAGAGACACGCACACTCCAAATATACAGCAGGTGTCAGGGTCTGGATCTAACCAACGACTTCCTGTACACCAGGCGAGGTAGTTAACATCTCCTAGCCACCGTGATGATGATGAGAGAGAGAGACACGCAAACTCCAAATATACAGCAGGCGTCTGGGTCTGGATCTAACCAACGACCTCCTGCAAACCAGGCGAGGTAGTTAACACTTGCCCCCCCTCCCCCCCTCTCCCCGTCCCCCCTGCTCCCCCACTCTAGACGGTGTTCCGAGGCCGCTCGCAGGATTTCTCGACTCACCTGGGCCAGTGCGGGATGTACCGCAACCGCGGACTCAACACGGCCGTCGACCGCAGCAGCGTGGCGGCCGCGGCCGGTGGTGGATCTCTCGCCGTCTCGGCGCGCCACCAACGCATCGCCTTCCACGAGGCCGTCCGGGCGCTCGCTGCCGGCACCGCCGCTGCCGGCACCGGCAACGGTCGCTAGGACGAAAGCCGTTGAGCGGACGGGCGCGGGCTGTGTCAGGGATGTGTAATGAATCCTCGGCAGAACGAATGGTCAGGTTTGGGTTAATGCAGGAGGGAAGGCAATCGGCGTCGAGGGGGGGGGCGGCCGAAGTGTGGGGCTTTTTCGATCGACAAATCGTCTCTTTAGATCCCGAAATCACGTGACTGGATTTTTTAATTTGTTATTTTCCTATCTACGTTGCTTTACCGAAAGACCCAAAGAATATGACTGGAATCTGTTTAACGATTGAAGAATTATTCAAAATATCACGGCTAAATCCACGTGATATTTTGAATAGACGTGCCTATGTGTTCGAGCATGGTTCAAGCTTTGTACAGGGATTTCTCTTCTTACGAACATTCGACTTACGAGCTTCAAGAGATATGAACAAACGTGCCTGTATGTCATGTAGGTGCCAAATGAAGAACCAGTGGCATCTGCATAAGATGAAGAACCAGTGGCATCTACATCTGCAGAGCATGAAGCACCAGTGGCATCTACATCTACAGGAGAGTCTACAACTTTCAAAGCCATTCCCCGTGTTTAGTGTACACGCCATACAACACGTTTGGAATCAACAGGGGTAAAGTTGGACTTACGACCAAATCGACTTACGAACAGAACCTCTGGATCCTAACTCGCTCGTAAGTAGAGGAGTCCCTGTATCGTAAAAAAATCGGTCGATTCTTGTTCCAGTATCCCTTACATGGGCATAGCCACGCCCAATTATTCCATATATGGGACTAAAATATTGCACGTAATCTTGTCGTTCACTCTGTCGCGGATTCATTGTATCCTCTTACAACGGGACCAACTGTGGGGGTGGTAGCGGGGTGGGGGTGGGGTGGGGGTTGTCGTCTGTCGTCTAATGAGAATCGTCAGAATGTTTATTTTATGCTGGAGAAATCCCATGGGCTGCGAAGCTCTTTTTCACGTTCTTGGACACCGCCCAGTGCTGTGTTGGACCAATATCCGGGTGTCTTTGAGCGAGTTTGTTTGTGCGTGTTTTTTGAAAAAAAAAAATATTTCTTTTTCTCAAGGTGGCAATATTCAATAAGGTGACAAGAATGATGATAATTGCTGACCTAATAATTCAGATGTAGACTGCGCATTCCACCCTTCGGATCCCAATGCGCAACGCATGGAAAGCAGGAAACAAAAACGTAACCGGTGGGGGGCCCACCGACCAAACTCGAGAGGGAAGGCCACTTTAAAGAGACGGGGATGTTCGGGACATCCTCACAAAACAAACGCCACACTACCACGGGTTAAGGGTCAGGGGTCACGGGAGCGCCGTCGTGCACGAGACGCAATCCGGCGATTGAGTGGAGGACAACCGCGATCGGTCTCGTGCAAGAACCTGTTTCATTGCCAGAGAGGGTAAAACCTTCCCTTATATTTTGACGCTGGCAAGAAAGGTCGCATAAGGGGCCGTCCATAAATGACGTCACGCACCTTGGGGGGGGGGCGGCGGTCAGACATTTGTGACGATTTGTGACGAGGGGGGGTGGGGGGGGGGGGTTTGAGAAATGTGACGTCACATCAAAATGCGCAACTTTAAATAAATATAGACAACACGTTCTAACTTAATTAAATGTTTTCTCCTACAACATCAGAGTGCAGCGCCACATTAAATACGCACCACAATGACAATAGTTTAAAGCGATTTGAAGCATGTTTTTTTTTGGGGGGGGGGCAGAGCTTTGTGACGTCATATTTGAGGGGGGGGTCTGACTTTTTGTGACGCCGTGTGACGAAGGGGTAGGAGGGGTGGGGGGTAAAAAATCGTCAAAAATCGCGTGACGTCATTTATGGACGGCCCCATATGATAGAGGTGTTTCGGGTTCGACCGCTTAAACATGAGTGTGTCGTCATACCCGCCACCGCCCGACATGGCAGTTTAGCGATTGAACACCGCCGCGCGTTAAGCGAGGATTTGTCCAGCAACCCTGCTGCTTTGTGATTGCAGGTTTTTTTTGTGTCAAAATTTGACGGTGGTGGTGGTGGAGGTTTGAGTGGACCACGTGCCTGGCACCCCAAAGTCCCAATCGTTCGTTGTCGCCAAATGCTGCCGCTAGATGGCAGCATTCGCCTTTGTGATGTTACTTATCGCAGATTGACGATGCCTTCGTCACACACGCGCGCGCGCACACACACACAAAATAAAAGGTCAAAAGTGACTTCCCGCGCCACTTGAATGAGGCATTGGTTGATGCTCATCTTCCGCTCACAGCCGCGCAGAGCCAGTGGTGGAAATTCCACATTCCTATGACGCGCGGGGCGAGTTTATCTTAACGGGACAACCACTGCAGCGTCCCTCCGCAGAGCGCCACCGTTCTCAATTTAACAACACCCAGAGGGTCAAATGGGCCGAGTCGACCCTCGAACCTGGAATTGAACTCGCACCCTTCCGATCGCGAGTCGCTGAGACACCTCTACGGTTGAGTGCAATGCATGCTTTACTCAGCGAAGCTATTCCACTCATTGGTAAACAACAAACAAAAAAACTCTTAACATTGCCCTGGCCTAACCTTACCTTAACCCTACCAAGACCTGAAGCTAACCCATCCCTAACCCTGACCTAATCTTAACCCAAACCCTCACCTAACCATCGCCTAACCCTACTCAAACGCTGACCTAACCCCAACCCTATCCCTAACCTTACCCTAACCCAAACGTAACCCGAACAAGAAAGAGACGATGGGAGGGAATCACAACTTCGTTGAATAAACAAAAAATACAAAATCCATTCATTTTTGCCGGTCCGTAACAGCTTTCCCTACGCTCTACGCGGATTCGCTCTGTGGCTTTGTGCGATTTCGCGCACTCTGTGCGGCTCGCCTGTTCCCACAATTCGCTCTTATGCGGTTTAAATTCACTCTACACGCGGTTTGTGCGGTCCGCACGTCGGACAAAATCTGTGTGTGTGTGTGATGTGTGTATGGTGTGTGTGTGTGTATGGTGTGTGTATACGGTGTGTATGGTGTGTGTGTGGTGTGTGCGGTGTGTGGACTGTGTGTGTACTGTGTGTACGGTGTGTGTGTACTGGTGTATGGTGTGTGTGTGTACTGTGTGTACTGTGTGTGTATACTGTGTGTGTGTACTGGTGTATGGTGTGTGTGTACTGTGTGTACTGTGTGTGGACTGTGTGTGTGTACCGGTGTACTGTGTGTGTACTGTGTGTGTACTGTGTGTACTGTGTGTGTACTGTGTGTACTGTGTGTGTGTGTACTGGTGTGTACTGTGTGTGTGTACTGTGTGTGTGTGTACTGTGTGTACTGGTGTATGGTGTGTGTGTACTGTGTGTGTACTGTGTATGTGTACTGTATGTGTGTACTGTGTGTACTGTGTGTGTACTGTGTGTGTGTGTACTGTGTGTGTTCTGTGTGTACTGGTGTATGGTGTGTGTGTACTGTGTGTGTACTGTGTGTACTGGTGTATGGTGTGTGTGTGTACTGTGTGTGTACTGTGTGTGTGTACTGTGTGTGTGTACTGTGTGTACTGTCTGTGTGTACTGTGTGTGTACTGTGTGTACTGTGTGTGTGTAGTGTGTGTGTGTACTGGTGTATGGTGTGTGTGTACTATGTGTGTGTACTGTGTGTGTGTACTGTGTGTGTGTGTGTGTGTACTGTGTGCACTGTGTGTGTAGTGTGTGTACTGGTGTATGGTGTGTGTGTACTGTGTGTGTACTGTGTGTGTGTGTACTGTGTGTGTACTGTGTGTGCAGTGTGTGTACTGTGTGTGTACTACTCGGCAGACACGGGCCGTGCAACCCAAACTATGGACCAAAGAGTACACCCATAGACACAGAGACACATGGAGACACATGGAGATAGATACATGGAGACAGATACATAGTGACACATGGAGACACGTGGAGACAGACACATGGAGACACATGGAGACACATGGAGACAGACACATGGAGACACATGGTGACACATGGAGACAGACACATGGAGACACAGAGACACATGGAGACACATGGAGATAGATACATTGAGACACAGAGACACATGGAGACAGATACATAGTGACACATGGAGACACGTGGAGACAGACACATGGAGACACATAGTGACACATGGAGACAGACACATGGAGACACATGGAGACACATGGAGACAGACACATGGAGACACATGGAGACACATGGGGACAGACACATGGAGACACAGAGACACATGGAGACACATGGAGACACATGGAGATAGATACATTGAGACACAGAGACACATGGAGACAGATGGAGACACATGGAGACAGATACATAGAGACACATGGAGACACATGGAGACAGTTGGAGACACATGAAGACACATGGAGGCAGATACATGGAGACAGACACACAGACACATGGAGACACATGGAGACAGATGGAGACACATGGAGACACATGGAGACAGATGGAGACACATGGAGACACATGGAGACAGATGGAGACACATGGAAATAGATACACAGAGATACATGGAGATACATGGAGACAGATGGAGACAGATGGAGACAGACACATGGAGACACATAGAGACGCATGGAGACATATGGAGACACATGGAGACACATGGAGACAGATGGGAACAGATGGAGACACATGGAGACACATGGAGACATGGAGACACATGGAGACACATGGAGACAGATGGAGACAGACACATGGAGACACATGGAGACATGGAGACACATGGAGACACATGGAGACACATAGAGACAAATGGAGACAGATGGAGACAGATGGAGATAGATGGAGACACATGGAGACAGATACATGGAGACACATAGAGACGCATGGAGACATATGGAGACACATGGAGACACATGGAGACAGATGGGAACAGATGGAGACACATGGAGACACATGGAGACATGGAGACACATGGAGACACATGGAGACAGATGGAGACAGACACATGGAGACACATGGAGACATGGAGACACATGGAGACACATGGAGACACATAGAGACAGATGGAGACAGATGGAGACAGATGGAGATAGATGGAGACACATGGAGACAGATACATGGAGACACATAGAGACGCATGGAGACATATGGAGACACATGGAGACACATGGAGACAGATGGGAACAGATGGAGACACATGGAGACACATGGAGACATGGAGACACATGGAGATACATGGAGACAGATGGAGACAGATGGAGACAGACACATGGAGACACATAGAGACGCATGGAGACATATGGAGACACATGGAGACACATGGAGACAGATGGGAACAGATGGAGACACATGGAGACACATGGAGACATGGAGACACATGGAGACACATGGAGACAGATGGAGACAGACACATGGAGACACATGGAGACATGGAGACACATGGAGACACATGGAGACACATAGAGACAGATGGAGACAGATGGAGACAGATGGAGATAGATGGAGACACATGTAGACAGATACATGAAGACAGATGGAGACACATGGAGACAGGCGAGGCAGAGCGTCACCTGCCATACTCAAATGGAAATAGCTGTTACGAAAAGTATATTTTTTTAAAATAAAATTAAATGAA